AGAGAGAATAGTGCAACAATGAATGAATGGAAACCCAAAATCTCTGTAAATGTTTATGAAAATTAATAAAATATAGAAAAAAAAACAAAGAGAAGAGTGAACTGGAGGGGAGGGGTGGGCAGGGAGAAAAGTGCAACAATGAATGAATGGAAATCCAAAGTCTCTGTAAGTTTTCATTAAAATTAATAATAATAATAAAAATTAGTGAGAAGAGTGCCAAATTGTGCCTGTTTTTGTATTTCTTTCTCTCATCATTTAATTGTATATTTAAACAACACCTCCACATAGAAAATTAGAAAACATTGCTGAAAGAAACCAAAGAGGGGGAAATTACAGCTTACAGAGTGAGGTAAAAAACAATTTAGAATCATGTATCTGATAAAGGTCTAATATTCAAAACTTACAAAACACGACAAATCCAAGAAAACAAGCCAATCAAAAAAAGAGACTTGAAAAGACATTTCACCATGGAGGTTATTTAACTGGGCAACAAAACAAGCACATGAAAAGAATGCTCCATGTCATTAATCACACTCTCTCTCATTGCCATTGCGTAAGAATTGACTCCTGGTCGGTGGATGTGTCAGCACGTTCCCCAAGGCTGTAAAGCACCCAGGAGGAGATTGTGTTTCTCTTACAGAAGTTCTGGTGGGTTCATTCACTCCCCTGGCACAAAGCCACCAGAGCTCCCTGTAAAAGCAAGTGCTGATTAAAGATTGTTGTGACAGAGGAGGTGAGGTGGCAGTGTCCACATCAGCTGATTGCCCAATTGGCTTATACTTCCCATTACAAATGAACAGTGATCCTAAGAATGAGCTCAAGCAGATCAGAAACTGAGGATGGCGAGGATAGGGCAAAGCCCACAATGTTCCTCCAAATAGTCACTATGAGTGGTACTACTATTGAATGGTACTACCACCAACAAATTTAAGAATAAAAGAAAAGTCTTTTCCTTTCAACTGGTGCCTATTATTTTTCAAATAACTGTTAATTGCTCTGGATCTAGCCATTTAATAAGTGCTTTTTCTGGTTCAGATTTGCTGCTTATAGTGTTGTACCACTTAATGGTGCATAACAACAACAACAATAATTTCCTTTGCCCTAAATGCTTCAGTCCTGTGAAAGTCAGAACCTGTGTTAAGGCAGAAACCTGTCAGAGAAGGAAAACTCAAACAATATCCACAAACAAAGAGGGAAAGAAACCATGCCCTGTTGGGGGAGGAAAGCTTGCAAGACCTGGAAACACAAGGTAGTGATTCCCTTGAGTTCCAGCTTTCCCAGGCTATGCTGCATTTCAGATGGTCAGTTCATAGATCTAGGAAGTGCAGCTTTATAGGTACTGGACTGAGAAATATTTACAGAATGGGCTGAGACCATCGCTTTCTTTTCT